GAGCAAGGTGGAGAGCCTGGCTGTGCTACTTAATTGCTGTGAGACCCTGGGCAGATTACTTAACCACTCTGAGCCTCAACAATGGAGAAAGTAACAGCAAAGATCTCGTAAGACAGCCCTGGGGTCTCAGTAAGGACATTCCCAGAAGACAATACCACGTTGCAACCGCTCCAGAAATGTGAGCCCACGTGTTTTATTATTGTTTGTCATCTGGACCTCTTCAAAGAAAGTATGGGTCTCTTGTGAGAAACTTCCAGCTGTGAACCAACAGCTATTTACTGAGATGCTACCACTGCTAAGAAGGTATTAACAAAGGGTATTTCCCAAGACAGGAAAGAGAGAAAAGCCAGGATGCACAGCCCCCCCATTGCCAAAGGCTCCAGGAACTAGGTAGGCTTTAGGATACGCTGACTCAAGGCAGGGGCTTGGCATTCTTGAACGGTTTGGACTGAGGGATTAGATGTTCGCTTGTTCGGGCAAGGACTTCCTGTGACCAGGCAGTTAACAAATACAGGCCATCAGGCTGTAAGAAAAGAGGGGACTGCCATACCTCAATGCCACGTAGTCACTCAACAAGTATTTATTGAGCGCCTACTCTGTGCCAAGCATGGGGATATAAAGATGACGAAGGCAGACATGACCCCTGCCTTCTGGAGTTTGGTGCCTAATGGGGCAAAGGGAGATTAGCCAAGGAGATCCATAAATGGAGCTCGGCCATCAGGGTGCAGGAAGAAGCAGAAACCACAGTAGGTACTGCACACAGAGGGGATTCAACACAGGGACTTGTTTATGGCGTTGCTGAAAAGCTGAAAGAGTAGACAGGAGATGCTGAGGCAGCCAGAAATAAGCACCCGGAGCGGCCGGAGTCCGGAGAGGGTGGCCAGTGCTCGGACATCCAGAGGAAAACCTGCCCGGCTGGTTCTCAGGCCTCTGAGGAGGGGCACGGGGACCTTGGGGGTCGGAGCCAACGGCTGCTGCTGCTGCTGCCAGAGTGACAGTGACAGGACCCAGACCAGCCAACAGGAAGCCCCCACCACCCTCCTCCCATCCCAGGCCCCCTCCAGGCCCCCACCAATGCCAGAACCGAGCAAAACTCCAACTTCTAAGGGGGCTGGGAATTGTGGCGTGCAGAGTTCCAGCCCACATCACAGAGCAGACCACACGAGGGCGGGCTTGAGCTGAGAGACCCTTGGAACTAACCGGTATGATCCACGTCTGCACACGCCCTCCTGCCCCAGTCTGGACTTCCCCCGACCGCCTGGCCATCCCTGAACTGGTGGCCAGTCTCAGTTCAGACAAGACAGGCTCCAAGCTGCCGCTGGAAGGTCAGCCCGCCAGGACGATTTCCCTTAACTAGTAGGTGTTTTCAAGGAAATAACTGGGTCCTCTTGCAGAGAGTAGCAGGGCACATTCTGACCTGCTGGGAACGCAGGGAACCCCAGATAAGAAGTCTCGTCAATGAAAAGTGCCCCACCTGCTGCCAGCACCCTTCCAGGAGCTCTTTGCCTAGAGAACTTTCCCCTGGGGCACAGCTGATCTGTGGGAGGCAGAAGAGGTTTCTGGAATGTTGTCCAGATTGGCAAGTGGCAGGAAGTGGGCCCAAGTGGGGGGGTGGGGAGGGGGTGGGGGGCCCACACCAGGCTTCCCTGGCCTCATCTCTGCCAGACCCTCCTTTGCCTCGTCCCATACCTGCCAACCAGCGCTGCCTCTCAGATGTCACCACACGGTCAGATCTTCCCCATCTCGGCCAGAATAGATGTCTGCTTGGGGCCGATGCAGGGCTTGCAACAGGGCCAGCCCATAACTCAGGTTCCACAGCCTTTGAGACACAGACCCCACCCTCCCACCTCAAGCTATACCTAGAAGGTCCAAGGTGGGTCTGAGAGGAGGGCCAGATATCACAGGGGCCCCCAGAGTCTTCTGACCTGTATCAAAAAAGCCCAACTCAGCTCCTCCCCTTGAAGGGAATCTCTGAGCTTTGCCTTTTTTGCTTTCCAAGCTGGTCACAGCCCATCCCACCCCCCATGCCGATCTGGACCTTCTCCCTGCCCAGGTGATGCTGGATGGATGTGGGAGGGGGGTGGTACGTCTATTTGAACATCGTCCTCTCTGACACACATTTTTATATAGTCCTTCCTATGTGCCCGGGGGGGGGGGGGGGGGTGGTGGGAGGGGTGTAAAAGCAGCAGGGGTAGGAAAGCATCCCAGGAAAGCCCCTCTGCTCTCTGAGGGAGGATGCTCCCGACCTGGAGAATTTCTAGGGCCTGTGGAGTAATGGAGCAGGAAATGGGTGGGGACGAAACAAATGGGTGTTTGTCCCCATTCTGTCCCGGCTCTGGCAGAAATGCCAGTCTGTGGTTGGGCCAGAGTGGCAAACCCAGAAGGTGTCAGCTGGGGCCACTTGCATGGTAATCAGGCCCAGGGAGATGAGACTGAGCAGCTAGGGAGTGGAGGGTCCAGCAACCCGCCTCCTGTCTCCTCCTCAACTCGGCAGCACGTACAGCCTGCTTTGTGCCAGTGTCTGTGCCCTACACTGGGGACACAAAAACCACAGGGCCGAGTCCTGTATCCAGGAGCTCGGGCCCTGGGGAGGAGGCAGTGGAGAGAGAAAATAACCATGAGGAGGTCACTCCTCATGATGCACTCGGGCTTGGCAGTCAAGAGTGGCTTCCTGGAGGAGGTGACCCTGGTCTGGTCCCTGCCCTCAAAGGTCTGCTCATAGACAGGTGGGGGAGGGGGAGCTGAGCAGGAGTCAACCAGGACTAGAGTGAATAGTGATATCACTATGGGTCCTCAGTGCCTGACAAAGAACAGGATCACGGCCATCTTGGGCACAAAACATCTGTGGGCTCAGGTGGAGAATCTCCCCTGAGCCCGACTCCTGGGCTCATCTGGTGACTTTCTGGTAACATGCGAAGGGGTGTGAGCTTGACAACCATAGTGGGAGCCAAAGGGAAAGAGACCGAGGTTGGAGGAAGCCTGTCCACCAGGCCACCTTGGGGAGCGGGATGCATTTATCTGCTTTTACATCTTTTCTGTACTTTCTAACTTTTCTAAGGTTAAAAAAAGTTTTAAAAAGGGAGGGTAAAAAAAACTTTTTCCCCAAAAATGCTTTTTGTTTTTTTTTTTTTTTTTTTTTTTTTTTAAAGAGACAAGAAGGAAAAGCTATTTAGACTTTGGATGGGTAAGAATGGTTTTATTACCCTACTTTATGAAAATCTGTACTGCTCGGTCAATAAAAAGCTGGGTCAGTGGGGGGTGCAGTGGCCCTGGGGGAGGAAGCCAGGAGGGAGGGGAGGAAGGCGGAGGAGGCCCCCCGCTGACTCACCAGCCCCTCCCCCTGCGGCGGCATCCTGCCCCTCCCAGGCACACACCCCAAGGTAGGCACAGACTTTCCCCAGCCAGCGGCCAGCCCCTCCTTTGCCTTATGGGTACCAAGGCCTCCTTATATGATTTGTTCTGCCAGGAGCGGTGGTAGCTGGGGCTCTGGCCGGCACTATTGTTCCTGGAGTGGACCGGATAAGACATGGGCCCTCACCGGAGGCCAAGGGCCCTGGGCCACAATTTCCTGCTAACCTTAAAGCCACAGAGAAAACTCGCCCTCTGTGAATCAGGATGTAGTGACTCAGTGTTTGGAAGTGTCCTAGGTTAAATTATGGAGCGTAGAACTTCCATACAAAGCTAGCTGTGTGCGGGTCCTGGATTCCAGTCCAGGCCTGGCGCGCTCCCATGAGTAACTTTGGGAAAGTCGCTTGGCCTCCCAGAACCGGTTTCCTCCCCCCCGCCGCGCGGAGGAGGTAATGATTCTTGCTCAGAAACTTCACAGGCTGGCAGCCACTGACTCAGGCACGGGGGCTGCCCCATGGGCTGTAGGCAGCACCCACGTGGGCACGGGGGTCTCCGAGCTGGGTGAGGACCACCCAGGAGCGCCCGGCTCCCCGAGGCAGCCCAGAGGAGGCCAGCGTCACCCAGCTGTGTCTGCCCTGGCTCGTCCACACTGAGTTCTAGTCACTGCAGATGTGGGACACTCCAGGACCCCTCCCACCTGTCCCACCCAGGGCTCCTGTCAAGTTTCGTTCCCACTCCCTTCCTCTCCCAGGCTCACGCGGCCCATATGGGCCCCAGTGTGGCCCTCAGGTCCCCGATGGGCTCCTGCTATGGCAGCCGTGCTGTGGACCCAATGTCAAGAGTGTCTGCCCCAGACAGTGCTGTGGAGGAAAGGACTGTGGAAGGGGGTGCACACCAGCACAGGCAGAGGCCCTTGGCTAGAGGAAGGAAGGCATTCCAGAGCAAAGGTTTCCCCCACACCGACTGGGGCCCACAGAAGAGAGATGCTTTCGTGGCAACCCGGTACACGTGTGTGCAGGTGTGCATGTGTGGTGTGTGTGTGTGTGCAATGAAACAGATTCAGGACACTGTTTCCCTTTCCCATGGGTAACGTACTCCTACTTGCTAGTCCAGCCTACTTAGTTTTTTAATGTTGTTGGTGACGAACTAACAAACTAATTTCACCATGAATCTCAGCCCACGTTTGGAAGCCCCAGGGCTGGGGGCACTGACGGAGGCTCAGCGAGACTGACGCAGAGCGGGGGGAGTCAGGCAGGCTGGGCTTGCAGGGCCATGGCCCGAGTTTGGTCTGCGGGTCACGGGGAGCCAGCAGGGCGTTCTAAGAGGGGGGTGGGGTCCCAGGCATCCCAGCTGGTCCTCGGCAGTGCCGTGCCAAGGGCCGTCGCCAGCTCAGACTGGCTTGAGCAGAAGGGAACGGACCATGTCACGTTCTGGGAAGTCTCGGCCAGCTGTACCTCTGGGCTGATTCTTTCGCAGCATAGCTGCATCGCCAGGGCCCAAGCCGTTTCCCTCCACCTCTGTCCTCTTCGTTTCATAGCTCCAGGCCTGATACCAGACACAGCAATGACCAGAGCAAGAACGGAGACAGTCTCATCTTGGTCTCCTTAGGCAGGAAGAACCCTTTCCCGGGGGTCCCCTGATGTCTTCCCCCTGGAAGGGCCAGACTCGGTCACACAAATGTCCCAGCCTGGGCCTGCGACGAGCCTAGTGAATGGTGGAAAGTCACCCCTCCCTGCCCACGCCTCCTACCAGTAAGCCCAGTTGGGAAATTCAAGGATACAAGTTAAACGAAGGCAACCATCTCTGTAACGCTATTTCCTGTGTCATTGTCTGTAACGGGAAAAGCCGGAGACATCCAATGTGCAGGCACAGGGGCCTCATTGAGTAAGTGACATTTTTCAGCCTGATGGAGTGTAATTGTGGCATTGAAAAGTGCAGTCAGTTGTCATTACTGGATTCTCTCTTTGCAAACGTATGTAGTCGCGACAATTTATTCGCAGTCACTAAACAATACTCACAGCACTCTCGTGGTTATTGGCGGGCCCGTGCAGAGCAGCAAAACGTTTGGGTTGTCTGAGGTGCATGTTCCCAGCTGAGGCCGAGCAAGACGCTGCCCTGTGCCTTCTTGTCTCAGCTCTCATCCTGTAAACAAGAGTCCTTTCCAAAGTCTGTCTGGGGGCACATCTTTCACATTTTTGTGCTTCTCGTTGGTGATTTTGCTGTTTAAAATAGCCCCTCGGTTCGTGCTGAAGTGCTGTTTAGGGCTTCAGCACGAGAACCCCGTGAGTTGCCTTTCATAGACAATACGTGCTCGACAGGCTTGTGGTGCTGTTGGCCAAGAGTTCAGTGTTAATGACTCAAGAGCATATATTAAATAAGGTGTCTTTACACACACACCTAACATAAAGCTATGCGTTGAAGCACCTCAAATAAAGGTACGTGTTGATCAGTTGATGAAAATACTGTGACCAGAGATTTTGCAGGAACCTAATGCCTACTTCCCCTGGGAGCAAATGACTCCATGTTCACAGATTCAGTGCTCAGGCCAACTGAATAGAACGACCTTGCGTACCAAGAATCAATTTTAGTATCAAGCCACGTAGCAAAATCCAAAAATACATAAAGGAGAATACAAAATGCATGTCCATCACGATTTCCAGCTTTATAGAAAATACGTACGCGCGAGCACTAGGGCTGGAAGGGGACCTAATATACCAAAAAATTCCTTTGCTGTTAACATCATTTTTTACAATCAATTTAAAAAAATCTTAGGGTTGAAAAATAGTAACAGCTCTCCTTCCTGCCACGTGGTTTGGGTTTGAGTCATTACAATCGCCCTGGAGTGAAGGCATTTTGAGTTGATATCACCCCCCCCCACCCCCACCCCCACCCCCACCCAGGGACGGACACGTGCTCCAGCACAAACACAGTGGGTCTGTCTAAAGGAGCATTTTGCACCAGAATTACGGGGTCCAAAGCACAGCCCCAGGATGAGTTTCGTCTTATTTTTTCCCTTTTAAAGAACGTGCGTCAGATAGTTGCACACACCGGCACCTTTCGTGACAGCCAAAAAGAGGAAGCGGTCCAAGCGTCCCATCACTGGAGGAATGGATGTGCAAACTATGTATGTGCTGTGTTCGTGTCATGGCCTATTATTCGGTCTTTAAAAAGGAAGGAAAGTCTGACACAGGCCGCAACAGGGATTAACCGTGAGGCCATTATGCTCCGTGAAATGAGCCAGTAGCCGAAAGACAAATCCTGTATGATTCCACTCACATGATGTCCTTAGAGTAGCCAAATTCATAGAGACAAAAGATTAGGACGGGGAAGGGGGAGGGGAGAGTGAGTGGGCAACGGGTACAGAGTTTTAGTTTTGCAAGATGAAAAGCATTGTCGACGTGGACGGTGGCGATGGTTTCGCAACACCGTGAATGCCCTTAGCACCGTAGCATCGTACCACTTAAAAACGGTTAAGATGGTAAATGGTGTCCTGTGTATTTCATAGAACTTTCTTTTTTTTTTTTTTAATGTTACTTGTTTTTGAGAGAGAGAGAGAGACAAGGCGTGAGCAGGGAAGGGGCAGAGAGAGGGAGACAGAATCCAAAGCAGGCTCCAGGCTCTGCGCTGTCAGCGCGGAGCCCGACGCGGGGCCCGAGCTCACGAACCGTGAGATTATGACCTGAGCCGAAGTCAGGCGCTTAACCAACTGAGCCACCCAGGCGCCCCTATATAATTTTCTAAAAATTTTCTGCAATGGCCAAGAGACCCCGGACTTAAAGCTCATGGGCCAGGGGTTCCTGAATGTGAGGGACCGTGGATTACCTCATTACCTCCAGGGAGTCTGGGTTCCCACAGTGGGCAATGCTAGAGCTTGTCCTTCACGGAGTCTGTTCCCTTCCCCCCACCACCCCCCCGCCCGGGGCCATCAGTGGGACCAGGAGCCCCCAGCTCGCTTGGCACCGTTACCTCCTGGGCCTCACTGTCTTCATGTGGGCCTTGTCCTCCCGGCCTGAAGTTTCTGAGGCTTTGTGGTGGAGCCTGCGTTCCCCCAAGTCCCAGGGAAGGGAAAGAGAGGCAGTGCTTCATGAAAATTAAGTGGTAAGCAAAGGAATGCGGTGCTGGTGGTGAGACCCACAATGCTGAGCTACTGCCCAGCTATGCAGAAAAACCTGCCAGCAGGGTATCGCCCCAGTGCTCCTCCCTGGCTCTCACCCCCTGACCTGCCCCGCCCGAGCCCACACCTCCCGCCTCATCCCGGAGTCCCGGCCCCGTGCAATCTGAGACCGTACATCCTTCCGACTCCTCCTTTGCCTTTCACATGGGGTCATCTCCAGGGCGGTGTCTGTCTTCAGAACCTCTCCATGCATGAAGTTCACCTGCTCTGCCCATCAGGGGCCTCAGGTCCCACCTGCTCTATTTGGGTGGACGGATTCATCCTCCCCAAAGAACAGGTGATTCTCCTGTCTCTCCCATTCAAAAGTCTTGACCTTTGAAGCCAGCCTCCATCATCTGGCACAGGGTTTTCTTTCTTGCTTTGTAAATATAAATTTTTTTTTTAATTAGTTTAAACATTCAACACCCTGTCAAGTAGTTCTCCTGGGAGCCTGGGGCACTGGTTGGTTTATTGGGTCTCGTTCCAGAAACATTCTGTGCATCTGCAAACAAATGCACATACACGCACACATACATTTTCTTCTTTTTCTACAAAAATCATAGCACACTGGGCGCGCTGGTCTGTGCCTTTTACGGTACTTAGAACTTGTTCCCTTTGGCATACAAAGATTTTTTCATTCTTTTTGAAAGCTGCTGAGTGTTCCACTGTGCAAACATAATCGCTTTGATTGGTCCTCTCTGGATGCACATTTAAGATGTATCTTATCTTTTCCATAACCAGCAAGGCCCCAATAAACAACTTTGTACTTTCACCATTTTGTTCCTGTGCATTATTTATAGGAGGACAGACTTGAAAAAGTGAAATGATTGGATCAAACAATATGTGTATTTAATGTTTCGGTTGATACTGTCAAAATAATACAGCAGTTGATGGCACTGTTACTTAGCCTGGAGATGACAACGGATTTCAACCTGGGAGCCGCAGGTGGGCTTTGAGGGTCTGCGAGTCCCCAGATTTGTAGACAAAAGTCGTGTGTGTACATAGGTAACATTTTTCTAGATGACCGAAACTTCCATCGACTCCTCAGAAGGATGTGTGTCCCCTAAATGTTCTCTCACTCACCCAGCTGGTGGTTCTCCCGGCTCCCCCAGAAGTGAACTTCCCCTCCCTCAGCAAGACTGGCCCTGAACATTCCCTCCTCTGGCTCCTTGTCGGGGAACATTGCCTCCGGTCTTCTGTGCCATTCCAAATGGTTATGGCTAACATGGCCAACAGTGGTTACCGCACGCTCACCGTGTGCTCGGGAGACTTAGCTAGTTCTCACAAGAATCCGATGAGAAAGGCGATCTCCACCTCCTCTGTTTGATGGACAAGGGCATGAAAGTACAGATGAGTCAAATAACCTGCCGAGCAGGCAGAGCTTGAATTGGAACCCAGGAGGAAGGATGCTGCGTCCATAAACAGGGTGGGTCAGCCGGGAAACAAAGAGAGAGGCTCCCAGGGTTCTCAGGTCCTAACTGCACCGCCTGGGGAACTTTTCACAATGGGCTCAGTCAGAATCTCTGGGGCAGGACCTAGACCCTGGGGATTTCTCAGAGTCCCCAGATGGACTTTCAAAGACCCCAGGAGTAACAGGACTCAGAGGGGAAGCCCCAGGCATCCACGTATTTTAGAATCTCCTTACCTCTACACCATACTTTTTGTTCCTTCTTTTCCTTTTTTAAGCAGCAATCACAATAATAAACATCGGGGGGGTGGGTGGGTATAACGATGGGCACAGCTGCCTTCCGAAATAATAAGCATCCTCCCCCCCAAAACGACCCCAAAAGGGGGCTTTTCTGAAAGTATTTTTTCAACTCACGGACTTCAATTTAGTTGCTGTATTTCAACCCACAGCCGTTATCCTTATCTGAAGCTCAGATTGTCCTATCAAACTGTCAACAAGACCCTTCTGAATCCTCCTGACCTAACCCCAGGTGCCTTTGAAAGTTTTCTCACTCTGTGGTGTGATGAGATGCTCGGAGCCCAACTTCTCCGCCTCCGCAGGCCTGGAATCTCAGCTTTTCTCCCAGGCGCCAATCCGGGTGAGGCTACTCGGTTTCTGTATTCTAGTTCTTTCACCAGCTGTCTGCACGCGAAGGAGCTCTTCTCCATGCTCGAAGGAGGAATAAGCAACCAAACTTGTTGTTAAACTCCATCCTACGGTAAAAGCTCTCTTCAGATTTCGGTTCAGCCTTTGCAGAATGCATAGACGAGTAATCTGTGTCCGTTCGTAAGAAACAGACTCTGAACAAAGTCGTGCTTGAAAGCCACTCGATCACAATATCTTACTATGATAAAATATTCTTCCACTTTGAGGGCCAGCCCCAGACATCTAAAAATATCTCCTGCTCTTGGGAAAATGCAAACTGAAGGTTCAAATAAGCGAGCAGTTTAGCCTGCCAAGAAAATTTGGAAAGCTAAATATAGATTTTAAAAAAAAAAAAAAAAAAGTAAAGACCAATACTCGAAACGGGCCTACCTATAAAGAATCCAATCTAGACTGCTTGAGGCAGAAACGAGGTAAGAAAAGACCGGGTTTAAATTCGCCCGGAGTTTGTCCTTGGCCCTGGTCCTTTCTTCTGTCCAGGAGGTAGAGGGTGGAGAAATAACAAATAACATTCCCCTTCATAACATTGATTATGCAACACTAAAGCCATTTCAAGAAGATTCTCAGGCAACTTGAGTAGATACCCAAGCCCTCGGAGGCCCCTGCCCTCAGGCGTAAACTCTGGTTGCCAGAAGAGATCCAGAGCTGTCCTACCCCATGTCCTGTGTGACCTCAGGTCTCGGTCCCCCCTCCAATACGGCACCACCTCACACACTGTGGGGAGAACTTAGTGTGACGTGTAAATAATGTGCATCTGGCAGCGTCCGCCCAGGGCAGCCTCTGATGGCGGGGAGGCGGGGGGGGGGGGGGGCCCCCTGCAGGCACTGATAGGCTCAGTGGGGCTCAGGCACTCTGGCACACCCCCCAGGTCTGGCAGAGGCGAACTGGCAATAAGCAGTGTCAGGTATGAAGTGGCAGTTCTCTGGTCTCAGAAAGTCCAAGGAGTTCGAACCGCTGTGTAGACTAACCAAGGCTGTCTAAGCAAATGCATCTTATCAGCTGCAAAGCACCTGATGAACACGGAGTGTCATCATTGACTCATTCTGAAGGATGATCTTTGACCCCATGCCCACCCACCTTGTATTAGGGCCTGCGCTGGGCACCAGGAATACAGCGGTGAATGGCACACAGCATGCTCTGCCTTCCGAGGTCTAGAATGAGTCTAAAATTTGACGAGCTCCGGTGCGGTCACTAAGTCCCAAACACCACTGCCACTAGCAGCTAGCACATCGTTTGGGTGTTGACAGGGTGCCAGCATTTTTATGCACTTCCCGAGTCTCGGTGGGGAGGATGCTTAGCAGGTGCCCCAAAGCACCAGCAGACCCCTGTCACTGAGATCAACATGCAGGAGCCCAGTTCAAGGGGCACAGCGGCTTTTGTCCTTCAACACCCCCTCTTCAGGACACGCTAGCCATCTTACTCACAGGTGGTCCCAGGCTCAACCTAAGACTTGCAAAATTCACATGGACACTGACTATTGAGACCTGGGGAAATGTGCTCCCAGAGCTGGTCTTTACATGAAGCTGAAGCTTCTGAATGTGTTGTCCAGCCCAGTGAGAGCCTTGTTTGTGGTCACCTTCCTAATCTGTTTTGGCTTCTCAATTCCTGTTCCTTTTCTCTCCTTAAGGGCTCATAAATTCTCTATAAATCCCAAAGTGCTTTTCCTCTCCAGAATAACAGCAGTGGAAGCCTCATCAGGGACAGTGGACATGTCCATGTCTATGTTTTGCTTACTTGTAAGGTGAGAACTGCTCGTCCCAGGAAGCCAGGGGTATGTTATGAAAATGAGAACTGAAAGTTGCATATCTTTCAGTTCACCTAGACAGAAATAACTGGACTTGTTTAATCCAGAAGTTCTCTAATAGCATCATTCGGAAGTGAGCTACTCCCACAGTCATTCACAACCAGAATTCACCAAACATAGGAGGGAAAAAATGAACAGGAATGAAAGTTAACAAAAGCCACAAACTGCAGAATCAGGCACCAAGACTGAGGAAATGGAATTATCAGGTATCGAATATGAAATTAATGCCAAGCAAAAGTAGTACAAAGATACCCCCGCTTCAACACAAACTGCAGAACTTCAAAGACAGAAGACTCCCAAAGCCGCCAGATACCAAAGACAGATTCCTCCAGGAGAACAGCAGTGCAATGGACAGCTGCCCTCTCAGCAGCAACAATGGAGCTGGAATATAATGGAAAATATAGAAAGATGTAGAACCATTGAGAAAATACCTTAGAAGTGTGGAGAGGAAATAATTGTCAGGGTGAAAAATAAGAATATTTTCTGACAAATCAAACTGACTACTACCAACTGACCTTTCCCAAAGAAACTAGTAATGATTGTACTGCAGGAAGAAAGTGGTCCCAGAAAGCCTATCTTCATGACCCAAGGTAGGGAAGGATTTGTTAAACTTGACCAACGAAGCACAGTCTATAAAGGAAAAGGTGAGCATATTCAATTACATTAAAATTAAGAACTCTGTTCATCAAAGGCATCATAAAAATGTGTGAAACACGTGCTCGAGGAATATATTTGCAATAATTCGCACAGCCAACAAGATCCACACTATTAGAAAGAATTACTATGAATCAGTAAGAAAAACAAACCCATAAGAAGTTTGGAACCAATAAAAAAACAATTAAAAATTTTACAGAAGATGAAATGTATGCACGTAAGCTCAATCTTATTTGCAATCAAAAAAATTAAAACCTAATGAGATACACAGAAGATTCCAAGGAATCTACCAAACAACTTCTTCGAGTAAGTGAATTTAGCAACTTGCAGGATACAATGTTAACACACAAAATAAACAGTCATGTTTGTATTACTAGCATTGAACAACTGGGAAATGAAATTTTTATTTTTTTAAGTTTATTTATTTATTTTGAGAGAGAGAGAAAGAGAGTGAATGCAAGCAGAGAAAGAGAGAGAGAGAAAGAGACAGAGAGAGAGTCCCAAGCATGCTCCAGCTGTCAGTGCAGAGCCCAACACAGAGCTTGATCCCACAAACCACAAGATCATGATGTGAGCTGAAATCAAGAGTCAGGCACCTAACTTACTGTGCCACCCAGGTGCCCCAGGAAATGAAATTTTTAAAAAAGCAATACTATTTACAATAGCTCCCCCCAAATAAAATACTGAGCCATAAATATAAGGAAGTGTGTACCATATCTGTATGCTAAAAACTACAAACTATTGATAAAAGAAGACAAAGAAACGTCAATAATTGGAGAGGCATACCATGTTCATGGATTGGAAAACTCATCATAGTAAAGATGTCAATTCTCCTCCAAATCGATCCATAAATTTAACACAAAGCCCCAGAAGATACTGTAGATTTTGACAATCTGCTTCTAAAGTTTGTGTGGAAGGCAACAGAACTAGGGAAAGGGATGAGTTATCTCCTGAGATGAGCAGAAATGTGAGCTACCTGCACTGATAACTCTTTTTGATTACTGTAACTTTACACAAAGTTTTAAATCTGGTGGTGTGCTTCCTCCATACCTCAAATCTGGGAGCCATCCTTGGCTCTGTCTCTTCATCACTCCAAATCTCCAGTGGTCTCATAGTCCAACACATTTTTTGTAATTATTTTATTGCTTTATAAAAGAAAAATTTCCCACCACGCAGTGTGAGAGGTAGAACATTATCACTTGTTACACTCATTCCCAAACCCATCACTCTCTCCCTCAGAAGGGTCATTCTCAGAAGGTGCAGAGATGAGTGGGTTCTTAGGGAATTAGGATGTGGCAATGAGTTCAGATTTTGTAACTGTTGGATTTGAGGATCTTGAGGGGGCAAAGATAGGCCTGGGGTGGGGCAAATGAGATGCTCAGGGTGCAAAATTTAATAAGGCGCTCATTCTCAGGATCCTGCAAGTACAAAGCTGACCCCTGCTATGGAACATCTGAGTAGAGACATCCAGTGGCAAGTGGATGTGTGGGCCTGAAGACCTGGAATTGCCAACCTATACCATGCTTAGAAGCATAGATTTAACAGGAGTGAGGAGAGGGAGAACCAAGGAGGCTCACAAGGATATCCTAAGGAGAACCCAGGAAGGAGAGGAGCACAGAAACTCTGAGACAAACCAATAGCAAAACTACTTGGTGCTCATGTTGACCCTTTCCCTCAGGCCTCTAACTGAACATGCTGTTTAGTGGACATTTATTTCTTTCCCTGGACTCACTAACATGGGTATAAACCCAGGCTAAAAGCAAACCAAGGCAGAGTCCATAGAAAAGATTTGGTTTCTCCACCAAGAGGATAATAAAAGGTTGGACAGAGCTGAGAGACGATTAAACTGGAATAGTATTGCCCAACTGCTATCTGACCACAGGGTGTCAGATACTATAACACAGGGGTCCAAACTAAATGCACACAGGGCCAGGCAGGCATGGTGAGTGAGTAAAGGGAACCAGGAATAGGAGAGCACTATTCCACAGAGAAAGTGAGCAACATAAAACGTGCGACACAAGGGCGTGGAGTTGGGGGTGAAGGGGATGCAGTCCACTGAGGACTCTGGGTCCTTTTTAAAGAAACAGTCACAACTCATTTCAGCCCACTCTGGCTTGGGAATGTGTTCAACTGTGGCTAGAACTATAGACTTCTCAAGAGATGTCTAAAATCGAAATTTTTCCTGTGAAATATCCTGTTTTAAATGTTGGCAACTTATTCAGAAATGTATATAACGGCTGTATATGTCAACACTGTTTGGGCCAAGAAGACACATCCACAAACCAAACTGCCCAAGTCCCTCCACTGGTGACCTCTGTGTTAACCACTTGGGTTTTCTAACAAAGTCTACTCTTGCTCGGGGCCAGCCTTCCTTCCCCATTTCCCTCTTGCTTCCCCCCTAACTTCATCTGCAGAGCTCGTAACCGGAGACAGAGGAGAAGAGGGATGCCCTGCAAAGGGAACTATGCCCGACACAAGCAAATGAAGGTTCTTGTTTTATTTTTTTTTCTTACAGGTATTTGGGTGCTGGGTCTGGATGCTGGTAGCTGCCACCCAGGTAGCAAACGCCTTGCTACAAGGATGGGTGATATATGTCTCACTCACCTCTTTTCTCATCTCCCTGATGTTCCTGTTGTCTTACTTGTTTGGATTTTACAAAAGATATGAGTCCTGGCGAGTCCTGGTAAGAACCAGAGAGGGTGACCCAAGCCCTTGGATTCCTCCTGATGTCTGTCCTGGGTATTGTGAGGACAAAGGGCCTTCTGGGTGGGGAAGGAGAAAGGCTGAGAAGGTAAATGACTTCGTTGCTCCATGGAGAAGGTGAGGACTGCTAAAAAGGGGGATCCCCCCCCACTTCAAAAACGGTGTACATAAGTAAGGCACGAAGAATGACTAATTACAATCATTTCAGATGGCATTTGAAAAGCAGAGACCAGGGACCAGAGGCCTTTTCAGGGCTGGGTCACTATGGATCCAAGACTTTTTCATCTTCACAGGTTTACTATTTTTTTTAATGTTTATTTATTTTTGAGAGAGAGGTAGAGCGCATACGAGAGCAGGGAAAGGGCAGGGGAGGGGCAGAGAGGGGAGACAGAGGATCCAAAGTGGGCCCCACACAAACAGCAGAGAGCCCGATGTGGGGCTTGAACTCATGAACCGTGAGATCATGACCTGAGCTGAAATCAAGAGTTGGACGCTTAACTGATGGAGCCACCCGGTGCCCTTTCCTGTGTTTACTATTAAGCCAGAATGAAAGCATTTCTCTGCCACAGCAAATTTTTCATTGTATTCCCCTCCATCATCTTCCTTGTTAGGAATATACATATTCTATATAAAGCGCATCCTGACGCGTTTCCCTTTAAATTTTATTTATGGTGAAATCATGGGAGCAGCATTAAAGGAAATGATAGTAGGAAAAAAATCCCCCAATCCCATGGTGCTCTCACAATCACTGGGTGCATTCTCCTATATTCCTTGCAAATTGTATGTAAAATGTATATATAATCACATTGAACCAATAATTTTGGATGTCAGTTCTTTCATTAATATTATGTCATTACATTGTTTTCATGTCACATCATCTTGATAACCATT